GTAGCCCAAGGAGCGGCCGTTCCACACTGACAAATCCCCAGGAAGCCACGGGCCAGGGCCATTCAGCGCTGCAGATAACACTGTTTTTCTGGATCCCCACTGTGGCTCTCCTTTTGAAAATGCAGGCGCATATACTTACAGCTGAGAGTGGACAATTTCCTATGGTTATGCACTTTGCCCTCTGAAACTAAGCCAAGTTGACAGAATATTCCACTCGTTTGGGCAGAGTTTTCTCCTCGCCCAGCGGGGAGTATGGTGAGGCAGAGATTCTGACACTTGGCCAAGCGGGATAAGATAACAAGGGAGTCTCTCCTCCATTTAGTGAAGAGAGACTTCGATGCTGTCCTCACCAAAACACACACACATGCCCACACATCAGTGTGGACGCAACCGTCTCCGCAGCTGTTTGTTGTTGTTGTTAGCTACGATTGAGTCAGACCTCGACTCACGGCAACCGCATGTACAAGTGATCCACAGGGTTTTCATTGACTGAATTTGGGAAGTAGATCGCCAGGCCTTTCTTCCTCGTTTATCTTAGTCTGGACGCTCCACTGAAAACTGTTCATCATCATAGCAACATGCAAGCCTCCACTGATAGATGTGTGGTGGCTGAGCTTAAGGTGCGTTGGCTGGGAATGGAACCCAGGTATCCTGCACGGAAGGCAAGAATTCTATCAGTGAACCACCGCTGCCCTCTTACCTGCAGCTGCCAGACAAAAAAAAACAGTTGCTGTCAGGCGATTCTGACTCATAGCGACCCTGAAGGATACAGTAGAACTGCCCCGTGGGGTTTCCAAGGCTGTAATGTTTACGGAAGCAACTGCCACATCTTTCTCCCGAGGAGCAGCTGGTGGGTTCGAATCTTCCACCTTTTGATTGGCAGACGAGCGCTTAACCACTGCGCCACTCATTGCCACTGAGTAGATTCCAACTCATAGTGACCTTATAGGACAGAGTAGAACTAACTGCCCCATAGGGTTTCCAGGGAGCGAACTGCCGACCTTTGGGTTAGCAGCCGAGCTCTTAACCACTGCCCCACCAGGGCTCCGCTGCGCCACCAGGAGGCCACAAAGACATCTCTCAAACCTAGCTAGGGGAGGTAACTTCCTACCACCATCCCCCCACCCACACCCCCAGCAGAGGGCTGCCAATGCAGGTCAAGTACATTTCCCATCTGATTCTCATCTGCGAAGTAGAAGAGGTATTGATTGGCCTGTTTCACGGAAGAGGAAACTCAGAGATGCTAGGGCTCTCCCAGAGTCACACAACTGGTCAGGGACAGACTCCTGACAAGAGGCCACGTCTGCCCAGTCCTGACCTTGGGCTCCTCCCAGTCACCAGATGCCTTCCCCAGGAGAGGGCCATTACTCAAGGATCAGTAAAATAACAGCTACCATGCTCCGTGTCAGGCACTCTTCTAGGCATTTTGTGCAGCCACTGATTCTTACAGCTACCTCCCAGGGAGGCGTTATCACAACTTTACAGACGGAGAAAGCGAGGCTCAGACAGGCTAGGTGATCTGCTTAAGGCCACATAGTTCCTACGAGGTGGAACGTGGATTCAAACCCCGATCCATTGGCCCCAAAGCTCTTTGGACCAAACTACAGAGTAGAGGGACCGTGCTCCGGCTCCTGAGAATGGACCCTCCCACCCCATTCCCTGCAGGGTGAAGAAATGCTACCTCATGGCCACGTTGCTGCCGTCAATCACTATGGGTCTCAAGGCACCCGCTGGGCTTCCGCACTCCTCTTCGGGGTCTGTCCCCAGCCTGCACTGGACAGAGTCTGACCGGCCACAGGAACCCCGAGGGACGAGCAGTGGGACCGCGGCGGCGGCGGCGCCCCCTGCTGGTCGTCCCTGGGTCGCGGGGCGACTGCCAGTCTGGATCAGCTCCCGCAGCACGTCGTTGACCAGGGCACCCTCACCCAGCTTGCCCAGCACCCTGACCACGTCCTCCTGGCCGTAGCCCAGCTTCTGGAAAAACTCCATCTTGCTCGAAGGCT